GCACATGCTACAATAGCATGACACACACAGCCTACAAGCGGGCCTGCCACGGGGTGCTTTGGATCACAGAACAAAGACAGGGTCTCCCACCCATCCATGCAGATCCTCTGTCAGAGTTAGCTAATAAGGACTACAATACCCAGCTGACAGCCTCCAACCAACCAGGGATCTGGAATTAAGGGTCATTATTTCTCATCATTATCGACTTTAACATTGTTTGGCCACTCTGAAGAGCAGAGTATATTCTTTTTTATCACAGTAGTGTGTTACTGGAACTTGAAATGAGAAGTTTTCTAAAATTAAATGAAAGTGTATTAATGCAAGGAATAAAAAACATGTTATAGCTTTTCACGCCTCTGTCCATTTCACCGTCCACCACTGACACGCTCTGTGCATGTGAAGTAAATTAAACAGTTTTGAAGTTGTTTTGTGACTGTGTTGTTGGAATTAATATGGCATCAGAGCAGGGAGAAAGTTTGAGGGCAGTAAACTGAGACAGATGGAGAGAAATGGAGTACAGCATATGATGGGATGATAAAACAGCCGAGCGTAGAGGAGAGATAAAAGGAGGGCGAGAGAAAGGAAGGTGGTGGTGATGGAGGACGGCGGGCGCAGCGGCAAGGGTGCGAGGCGAAGTGAAAGTGAGTTTGTCTGTGATGTTTTAAAATTCTGGAGTGGAAAGTCCCTCCATCTGTTATTGTGGGACGGTTCTGACTCAGTGATTTCTATGATTGGCCTTAATCCCGGCCGAGTGGAGAAGACAGAATGAAGAGCTTAAAGCAGACTGCTCTCACTCTGACAGGCTCCACTGGCTGCTGCTGCTGGGCTCAGCGGCTCGCTCTGTCTGCTGCCCCCTAATGGACCAGCCGCTGCATGACACTGCACCGCTCTGCACTACAACATCACACTGAGCAGCTCACAAGGCCCTGACACAGAAGAAGTGTCATTTTGATTTACCTTAAATTTGTAAGCAGTCATGAAAAACAGTAGATTTCCCTTATTTTTTTTATTTTCCTTGCAATGTGTGTGATGATTATATGTCTTCATAATTGGGCTGCAATCTGCCATTTTCTTTTTTTTTATTAATCGATTTAACCGTTTAAATGAAAATAATGTCAAAAAGAAATGTCCCTGTTTCTCAAAGTCAAGTCTTTTCGTCAGTCAAAACCACAAGGGTATTTTGTATATTATAATATAAAACAGTAAAAAGGCAGGAAAGCTATCTCTCTTTTCTACTGTTTTTCTTTCTATCTTTCTACAAAATGACTTAATTGATTGATTTCTGATTATCATAAAACAAATCACTACGGTGACTAATCGTTGCGTCCCTAACCATAAAAGCAAACCTTCCCAGAGTATCATGTCTTTAGGTTTGCATAACATTGCTGATGCTTCCTCCTGATACTTCATGCATCAGTAGATAAATTGAAGATGTAGCTTGTGGTGATGCTGCATCTGGATTTTTAATTCAACAATGTGGGAAGGACCCTTAAGAAAGCTGTTCTATATTTAGACATCTTTTTTTCAGAGAGCTTAGTGGCTTACCATTATGATTGTCACTGTCCACAGCAGCCAATCATTGTAAAATGTACTAAGGGTCTTCCCTCGCTGCGTTAGTTTCTCTGAGGAGGTTAAGTGACCTTAGCAGAGTCATTTCACAGTCTTTTAGTCCCCAAGGTGACTTGAGCGTTACCAGAAACCGAGCTGAGGGGGTCATTTGGAACATGTTGAGTACTTTGATTCAAAGCGGCAATCACATGTACAGAGCGTGTCGTGTTTTCTCAAGTGCCCTCTCACTCAAACACACACATTGTAGGGCTGTTTTGGAGAGTCTCTCCGGATCACACAGACAACAGTGTTGTGTGTCGAGTGCCCTTTAAGTTAATGCTCAGTGGAAGGGCCTTACAGGCTGAAGCAATCACACAGGAGGCCCGGTGAAGAGTTGGTACTCGCCACAGCATGACGCTGTCCGTCCCTGGTGTGCAGTCATTCCCCTTGAAATAACATGACTTCAAATGATTAAAGTACTCCTTATTGGACAGAGCAAACAGAACAGTTATGAATATTAAAGATCCTGATCGCTGCATGCTGAACTTTTTCATTTGTTTTACTTTTTCCTTGTTCAGTGAGTTCACAGTCGAAGAGCACAGCTTTTAGAGACATCACAGAGCGGCTCAGCCTGCAGTTTGACTGTTTGTTCAATCACACCATCACCTGCACCGTTATGTACGATGTTTGCATACACAGCAATCCATTGTGTGTTGTTTAAGGCTTGTGGAGTCACTTCACATGCCACTATCCATTACAGAGTTGTGTTTATGGTACTTGACCTTGCCTCAAGGCTCGATGACAAATGGCCATGCATGTGATGCATTTCTTGTCAAGGTTACAATGGCAATAGCATAAGAGGGTTGTGCGCATGTTGTCAACTCTTTTGGTGTCTTTGTGTTTGTGCCTGTGTGCTGTAGTGTTATTTGCTGTGTTGTGTGGGCCTGTACTGAGCTTATCTGTGCTGTACTGTGCTGATCTCACTATGCTCATCCAGTGCTCTAAGCTGCTTGGGCTCCAGCCACCAGCATAGATGATATATCCCTGCCCCCCTCCTTCCCACATCTCTCACTCTGATTCATTGGCTGTTTGTGTTGCCCATCCATCTGGGCCAACACAGAGGAAGGAAAGACACATGAAGACACATGGCTGTTTTGGAGCAGGGGGGACTGCATTAAGCTGCTAGGGATGAGATAGCGTCCTAGAGAAATGGAAGAGGGGGAGAGGGAGGAAAAATTCCAAGGGAGAGGCAGCTGGAGAACTGAAAAAAAGCTGTGTGGGCTACTCAGAGGGAGAGAAATGGATTTTGTAAAGGGACAAAGTAGAGATTCTTACTGACAGATTAAATGCTGAGCCAAGGGGATGAAAGGGTTGCCAGATCAAAGATCATGACAGAGAGTTAAGTTATAAAACAGTTCAAACAATAGCAAATTATTTTCATATTAATAAAGAAAACATGAATGCAACTGTTGTGACAAGGAGTCAAATCATATGGCTTTCATTTTCAGGCTAATCTCCGATTTGGAAATGCAGTGAGATTATTGTTCTGCTGCTCAGTGTTTATCCCTAATTGAATTTTTTGTATTGTGGACACTTTCACCAAGAGATTTCCGTGCTGCCCTTGCTACTGAAGACTGACCCTCTCTTTCAAAAAGCCACATAATTGCTGTCCTTTCTAATGGACTCTTTGGTAATCATTTCAATGGGCTAATTAAATCCTCATTTCATTGTTTCAGTCACCTATTGTCTCATTGGGAAATGAATGAAATTTTATCTTTGTTATTTAAGGCTTGTTCAGGTGATTAAAAGCACAATTTAAAAGTATAAAGACACATAACACTCAATATGATCTAGATTTTCACAAATAAGGTTAGTGATATCATATTATATATATATTTTAATTTAATTAACAATAAACATTATTTTCCACTGACTGCCTAAACCGCAAGAGGCTGATATTCTGTATTCTGTGCCTGGTGTGTGTGTTCAGAGGGGAGTCAGTATGATGTCCTGTGTGTCTGTGAGTGGGAGGGCCGGCTGAGATGAGGTGGGCGGGGCCTCTTAATAGAAATAGGACAGCTTTTACTATAATGAGAGTTTATATCTTGTGTGTTTTTGGTAGATAGAAAGCCTCCCTGGCTGGCTCCTTCACTGTGGCTCCACAAATGAATGAGCTCGTACTGTAGCAGGGGTCTAAATAGGGTTAGTAATTTCAGAGCCCTGGGACTTTACGGCTGATCACACTATTCTGGGACAGGAATAAGATCGCCCCCTAGAGGCCTGGGGAAACCTAGATACTGAAGAGCGAGAGGGAGGGAGTGAGACTCATCATATTTGCCACTTGAATGACTTTCTATATGAGAAGCCTATAGAGTAAGCTTCTTCAGAGATAAGCCTAAGCTACACCATGGTTAATGATGTTAGACTACTAAAGCACATTTTCAAGACAACCTTAGTTGGTAGAGGTGGTGTTTGATACAGGTCTGAGATACAAAATATCAATGTACCTTAAATTGAATATCTCTTCCTGTGATGAAATAGCCTACTCAAGAACATCATTTTATATTTTATGTTTTTACAAAGTCACAGCAAGTATTGTGTTTGTTTTCTGTAGGTGGAGAACTTTGGTGCATATTTACAAAAATGAAATGTGGGTATCATACTAAAGATCTGTAGAAGTGAACAGTGCGCAGGAGCTAGAACTTATTTATCAGTTTATGTGATAAATATTCCATACAAGTCATGATGTGAAGGTGCTCGAGTTGGAAAATAGTCAATCAGAACCTTGAACTACATATGAGTCACAGCAAACCAGACCTTCTGGCGAATGTCTGCCTCTTATCTACAAGCAGTGACAAAAGTCCTGATGGCTTGTTAGGGAGCAAACCAGGCAAAAATACACACAGGTTAAAAAACTGACCTGCACATATCAAAATCGATTTGGACTGATAACCATTGACTGTTTCGTTAATAGCAAAATATTGTTTTTACATTGTGTCTCCTACCCCTGTTAGTCAGACAAATACACATATTATCCTCCCAGCAATAAATAAAAACACTTTCAGTTCATGGGCTTTGATTCTAAGGTGTTTCAAGTGTTAAATTCACACATTTTCTTAGAGATACCAATGCTACCTTTGAAGAACCTCCAGGCCGGACACCATTTTAAAATACAATTTGCAGCTAAAACCATTGTACCTTTGTGTTGAGCTTGTTCACCTAGTGACAGTGCACAAGCAATTTTGGAACACGCCTTGTGGTGCTATACTCTGCTTGAACTGGTACTTTAAAGAACACTGCTGTTGGGTTTGTGGTTCATAAATCCTATGAATTATCCAGCTAATTTACAGCTGTATAGCTTTTGTTTGTCTGTTTCTCGTTCTCTTACACAACACGCATTGATGTCCTACTGACTTCTGATACTCACACTGCTTTTTTTTGTGTTTCTCTAGAAACTGACCAGGGTGGCCGAGCAGCTTCAGAAGGATCACGAATGGCAAGATGGTGTGACGGTAAAGTAGGACAACTGCTCCTCTCCCTCCTTCTCGGAGACCAATTTATTTTTCTCCCTTTCCTTTCCAGGCAAACTGGTTTTTTACTTCCTTTCATCTGTTTTTCAATTTCCTCTCAATTGAGCTATTTCCTTCTATTATTACTTGTTGATATTTTATGACAATGTAAACAGCATCACAGAGACAATGTGGTTATAAAACCTGCATTTAAACAAGAGTGAAAAACAATAACACACCAAAACACAGACCTACATTTATACGCACGCTATGTTTACTGTTAGGGTTGTCTTCAGTATTATCTTAGAGACTCTCTGTTTTGTTTTACAGGCTACAGCAAGTTGAACATGGCATTCTCTTGCTGCTGACCTTTAAAACACAAGAGAGCTGCTCTTGAATAAATAAAAAAAAAGAGAAATAGTATCACTGTGTGTTTGAGCCTGCGTGCTCCACTGACTCTCAAATTTGCAAACACTCAAATGCCCCACGAACATGCATGCATACTGATGCACTTACACACATACACACTTATTGATAGCCTCACCTGACAGATACACATGCACAGTCCCTAGTGTCATATCCTCTGTCTCCAGGGAGACGAGCTCGCTGTCATGGTACAATTCCCACAAATGGATTTTTAACCCTGCGCCTCCTGGGGGATATTTGAGAAAAGGCTTTAACTGATTTAAAACGAATAATTATGAGCCCTACTTCCCTGCAAAGTCCATTTTTATTCATGGTTGCTTACACTCTAGAGCTGTAGTCTTGGGGTGGCTGGGCGGCGCCCCCTCCTTCCCTCGCTGATGGTCTGAGGGATGGAGCTGCAGTGCGGCTGTCCCTTCATCTTAGGCCTGAGGAGGGGTGACACCTGCCTCTCCCTGACCGGCTCAGATGAACCTCGATCGGATGTGTAGCCGTGCAGGAAGTTGAGCGGGGGTCACAGTGACCACACACAGCACACCTGTTCATAAGCAGCTGCATCCAATATGGCATCAATACCGCCTCAAGTGGAAAAACCAGCGCTTTAATCCAACCACCACATGAAAACTCCTGTCTGCCTCTGTTTTTCTTTTCGTGTTCCTTTCTCTCTTCCTGTCTCATACCCTCCATTATCCTCTGCAACCCCCATCATATTCATATACCTCTACTGTTATCTGTATGCGTTTTTAATCAGGCATGAAAACAGTTGGAATATATCATATTGTGGCAAATACTGCAAAAATTATTCTAATGGTGCGCCTCCATTAATAATGTGTTGGAGCTGATTTCATTTGCCTTTATAATTAGGCCAGGTAATGAATCTCAGCAGGGGCGACTGTGAAAGCATTAAAAAAAATCTCACAAAGAGGTGGAGTGGGGGAGGGAGGGAGGGAGGAGTGGGAGAGGAAGATATGCCTCATCCTTGCAGTGAGATTTCTCCTGTTTGTAGATGTTGTGCTTTCCTAATTTCTCTTTTAGGTGAACACTCTGCTGACTGACACTCTAATTAGATTAGGGCTGCATGCTCTTTGGGCATATTAGGAGAAATGTGTTGCATTTTAAACTAGCGGGTGGAGCAGTCTGTCAAATTAAGAGAAAAGGTGTTTATGCATGAGTGACAGAGCGTTTTGATAGAATTTGTGAGTGTTTGTGTGTGTGTTGGAAAAGCGTAATTTTGTTGTTTGTGTTTGTGGACGGGCAGATATTTATTTGCATGTGTTTATTAATGCCAGGTTCTGTACCTGGCCCAGCCCATCTGCTCGCCTCGCGCCAAAACGGTGACATCATAGAAACTCAATGATATGCCTGTTCCTCATAGCGTCTGCCATCACAGCTGTTACCGTAGCAATGAGACGACCTCACTCTTCTTCTCTCACTCTCTCACAAACTCACACACACATTTAAGCTTTTTTTTGGTCTAACTGCAGAGCCAGTTTTTGACCATCCCGACCGCTGGACATTATGGATGTCAAAATGTTGATCGTAACAACTGTTGTGATGGTCGTTCAGGGTTTTAAATCCATTGGAAGGAAATGGTGTGTGAAATAGACATTAAAGTGTTGGATTGCCGCTGGTTTCTCAAGGTCAAGTGCCCATCCCTCTGTGGTACTATGTGACTATTGTGTTGGCAACAAAGTCATCCCAAGGTGACACAGGCACTTCAGCTATGCTCTGCAATTCTCATTGGAAGGAGCAATACAAACACATTAACGTATTGAGCTAGTCAAAACAACACAAATAACAAACAAATCAATTTGTTGGTTTTCAGCTGAAAATTGGATTAAATGATTGTGTTGATGTCCATCTGAAGATTGAATGCACTCATGCATGATCTCTTAAAATCTAGGTCTTATTAAGGAGCAATGCATATTTGTGGATAGTAGGCAGATGCCAGAATATGGCAATGATTTTAAAGGTTATACATATTTAATTTAGTTTTATTTGACCATAGCACATGAATAAAAACAATTGTATTCACCCAAAGCCTTAAAGACGGATAACCTATTAACTTGGACAGTAGGCCTGCTGAAATAGTTCAGAGTCAAGACTTGAAACAGTACGTGTAATACAAATGATAAAACTGGTCTTGCAAATATTTGACTTCCCTCGTTGAATAAAACCTACAAACCAACTACTGTACGTGGCCACACATAGGCTGAGTACTGAAGTTACAGTTTTGTTAATGTTTGGCAATCAAATTCTCACATAAGATAATGTTAGTTTGTAGATATCACTTTTGTTTAAGTATATTAATCATTAATGTTGGTGCACAATGATGACGAGGCTTACTAAATACGCCCGGTTTAGAGGAAGAGACAGTGTGGGAAAAATACACTTAGGCCTCTGCACCATACAGACACCAGTGAGTATGCTGGAACCAACTTATGGTTATGAGCATTTAATATATGATGGAACATTTGCATTTTGACCAGCTAAAATGGAATTTGATTTATCTTTAATAAATGCCTTTAAAAGTCATGTAGGCATTGTTGTTATCTTCAAAAGGAATGAATTCAGCTATTATAAGATAACACGGCTTCTTTACATCTGTAATGTCATTAATTAATTCGGACCAGCAAAGATATGTTAAGAGATATCTTGTCCCGACTGATCACGTTTTGATAGTGACTCCATTATGCATTTGTATATATCTTGATTGACTTTTTAGTTTTTCAAATGAGACTTATTTCAATTTTCTGTGCAAACATAGGAAAAGTAGCACGAACTATATGCTAGTAATTACATAATTATACAGTGTTCAACAATTATATTACAGTCATTGCAGGTACAGTATAAACATGTCATACGTTTAATCTCACCCTTCAACACACTATTCCTCCAAACTAAACCAGGGAGGTATACACATTGTGTCTTTTTGAGTTAAAAGTTTCAAATTTAAGTTATAGTCAAACCAGACGATGCAGCTCATTATACAATAACATAAAACTGTCTGTGATCAGCCTTATTTTCAAACTAACTAACAGACATATATATCCACTCATCTCTCATCGTATACCGTCTACAGATGATGAACATTGTTGCATAGCTGATGGAGGGTTGACACGAGGTGCAACACGTTGGAACAGAGACACGAGATTGGATGAAAGAAAGGACAGAGATTGTGGAGATTGGAGGAAGACATGTACTTTCCATCAGATTGTGATGTGGCAGCTGCTGTACGTTTGAAATGCATTAGTGCTAATAGCGGTGCCATTAGGGGAGAGAGAGGCACTCTGTTGATGGGTTGCCATGATGAAACCAGGAAGAGGGGGTGACAAAGAGAGGCAGAGAGAGGTGTAAGTGAGAAAGCAAGCGAGTGAGGGAAGAAGGTATAAGAGACACAGAAAACGGGAAACAGAGATGGAGCCATCTTCCAGGCCATTTACTGCAATCATCACTCTCTAATCAATCAAGCCTTTCATCATAGGACAACACAATCTCTCCTTTTCTTTCTCTTCACCCTCTGCCTCTCTCTCTCTTCATCACCACTCAGCCACCCACTCTCATACATAACACAATGATATTCATGTGACCTATTTCTTGCTCTTCACACATGTATGTTCATTGGTACCTTTGTAATGCATACAAATAATATTCATACATAGCCTACAGTGTTCCCCTTACCGATGCTAATAGCCTTAGCGTTTCTCGATCGTCTTTCGACAATTCTTTAAATTAAATACTTTAAATTATTTTGTGTGGATCAATGTTGGCTACTGTAAGCCAGCATTTTATCTACATTGAATGCCCTGCCAAAAGGTCCCCGAAGAGGCGTAACACTGTCTTAAGTGCTAGGGGCCCTGGCTACAGTTGCAAGGGTTTGTTCACTTGACCAAGTTCGGTTCCTTTCATAATGCCTCTATTTGAGATAATTGGCCCTTCAGAGGAAATGAGTGAGAATCATTGTGGCGACTCTCAGCCCAGCCCTCGAAGCTACCAGCTCCATTAGCCACAGAATACATTAGTCTTATGAGGGCTGCATTTGACAGATTCAAATTCAGATTCTGGTAAAATAGTCAGAAAATTAAGAGACGCCTCATTCTGGTTTTTGTTTCATCTCACTGCACTCAACATTTACATTTTTTATGTAATTTTTTTCCTCTCTTTTTTTCTTCTGGAAATGTTGCCAAAACCCTGTTTTCATCTCTCACCGGATTAGCTAAAACAGACAGCAATTAACCATTAGTCCAAGCGCATGCATTTTAGTATTTAATAGCACATATTCTCGCGCAGAATTGTGGAATTTATTTCTATCCCTTCGGCCATTTGTTGAGTTAAACAGGATGGTGGTGTTTTATTTGCAAGTTAATTTATATATATTGGGAATTACATCGTTTTTTTGTATACACTGACCATCATGTTGTTCTCATTTTGCCTGTTCAGTATTCCTGAATTGCATATTGGTCCCTTATTTTTAAACCCAGGTGCAGACCTTCTGAAGCACAAGTACAAAATAAAATGTGTCAGCACCACAACAACCAAAACGATATCTGTAGCGGAGGCCCGAGAGGGGGAGGTTAGAA